TAATAAAAGGATTATTCAAACACATGTGAATGAAAACACAACTCCAGGTCTGTTTTTGATTTATTAACAGTATTAAAACACGGCTTAAATCTCACAAGAGCTGCTCAGGAAGTGTGTCGGCTCCTCCATTGTCTCCTGGATTATCCACGACCTGTCAGGCAGCCTCAGTACGTGCGGCAGGGAGCACCCTGTCTGATACTGTGGTCACTAATGCAGGAGCTCCCCAGGGAACAGCCCTGTCTCTGGTTCTGTTCAAATCTGATTTCCAGAACAGCTCCGAGTCCTGCACCTGCACAAGAGACGATGAGTCAGAGACAGGTGCTGGGACAGGTGCTGGGACAGGTGCTGGGACAGGGCTGGGACAGGTGCTGGGACAGGAGCAGGGACAGGTGCTGGACAGGTGCTGGGACAGGTGCTGGGACAGGTGCTGGGACAGGAGCAGGGACAGGTGCTGGGACAGGAGCAGGGACAGGTGCTGTGACAGGTACTGGGGTGTATCAGAGATGGACAGGTGCTGGGACAGGTGCTGGGACAGGAGGACAGTGGGACAGGTGCTGGGACAGGAGCAGGGACAGGTGCTGTGACAGGTGCTGGGACAGGAGCAGGGACAGGTGCTGGGACAGGAGCAGGGACAGGTGCTGGGACAGGTGCTGGGACAGGTGCTGGGACAGATGTTGGGACAGGTGCTGGACAGGTGCTGGGACAGGAGACAGGTGCTGGGACAGGTGCTGTGACAGGTGCTGGGACAGATATTGGGACAGGTGCTGTGACAGGTGCTGGGACAGGAGCTGGTGCTGTGACAGGTGCTGGGACAGGTGCTGGGACAGGTGCTGGGACAGGAGCTGGGACAGGTGCAAATGATGTATGATAGACATATATTAATCATGTATAATACTCCCTACAACTGTACAACAACTCAAACTTATGTAACAAATAATACTCCCTACAACTGTACAACTCACCCTTATGTAACAAATAATACTCCCTACAACTGTACAACTCACCCTTATGTAACAGATAATACTCCCTACGATCTGGACTCACACTGGACATTCAGACGTCAGGTTTTGTTTTCGTTTGTGTAAATCTTTCACAGAGCCTCCCTCCTCCGTCACTAATACTACATCTGCTCCGACTACACAAAAAACAAACGAAAACGCACAATATCGAACTTTGGACCGAACTCTGACGCACAAAACCAACTCACCGAAAATCAAAACACGTAGAGGAAAAAACAAATAGTTGTAAATGTTTCGTGATAACAGTTTTAAAGAACTCACGTGATGGTGTTTTCTCATCGCCGTTTCCTCGTCAAAAACAGACCTGGAGTTGTGTTTTTTTTGTTTCATTCCACACACAAGTTTAAGTTCTTTTCTCAAACAGAAATAAAAAAAAAAATCATTTGTCAAGGGGCTAAAAGTTTATTTGGTCGAATACGTTTTTGGTCAGATGCTGGTGGACACTTCCTTATATTCGCCTGAAGGGACTACAGAGGATTTTCAGACAACATGAGATCCCTATATATTTCAAACCCTTTAAACAAACACTTGAAGACAGAAACTAGTCGATCCAAAGGACAAAACACCGAGACACAAAACAAAACAACGTGTGTTACTAGATTCAGTGTAGTGAAGACTGAAGTGAACGTGAACGGCCACTTCAGAAGAGAATGAACCAACACAGATGAGAGAGCAACACAGGACCTCAGTCTGCTGTACAAGAACCTCATCTCCACCTAAAAGAACCTCCTGAAGTCCTCCACCTAAGTCTGCCGTACATTCTCCACCTCCTACAAGAACCTCACCTCCTACCTCTCTGCCGTACACCTCCACCTACAAGAACCTCATTCTGCCGTACACCTCCACCTACAAGAACCTCACCTACAAGAACCTCAGTCTGCCGTACACCTCCACCTACAAGAACCTCAGTCTGCCGTACACCTCCACCTACAAGAACCTCATTCTGCCGTACACCTCCTCCTACAAGAACCTCAGTCTGCCGTACACCTCCTCCTACAAGAACCTCAGCCGTACACCTCCACCTACAAGAACCTCAGTCTGCCGTACACCTCCACCTACAAGAACCTCAGTCTGCCGTACACCTCCACCTAAAAGCCTCGGGCCACTTCTTTGAGGACAGTGAGGTACAGATCTGAGCCTGAGAAAAGGTTTGGTTTGAGAGGAGAGTTAAAGAGGCTATTTTTGTTAAGAAAGAGAGTCCTTCTTTAAACAGAAATGGAGGCCTCAGACATCAGCAGTATTCTATTTACAACTCCATCCTCAAACCTAAATCAAAACAAACAAGAGAACAACAGGTGTATCCAGGTCAGGTCCAGAGGTGTGGAAGCTCCATTATGACCTTGAATGATTCTGCTGATAAGACCCACACTCAGTGCAGATGAATAGGTCGAGCTAACAAACAGAAACTGTAAACAGTGTGTGTGTTAGTTTCAGAGTAGTTTCAGTGTAGTTAGCTCCTCCCTGCAGACAGATATAAGGAAGTGTTCAACAGCGTCTGACCAGAACTGAAGAAGCAGCTTGGATGAGCTGAGAAACGTATTCGACCAAATAAACTTTGTCCAGGTTTAATCGAGGTTTAGTTCTGGTTTGGACCAGGTTTAGTCCCGGTATAATCTAGGTTTAGTCCAGGTTTACTCTAGGATTAGTCCAGATTTAGTCCAAGTTTAGACCCGGTTAAATCCAGGTTTAGTCCACGTTTAGTCCAAGTTTAGATCAGGTTTAATCCAGGTTTAGTCCACATTTAGTCCACGTTTAGACCATGTTTAGTCCAGGTTTAGACCAGGTTTAATCCAGGTTTAGACCAGGTTAAATCCAAGTTTAGTCCCAGTCCAAGTTTAGATCAGGTTTAATCCAGTTTAGTCCAGGTTTAGTCCACATTTAGTCCACGTTTAGACCATGTTTAGTCCAGGTTTAGACCAGGTTTAGTCCAGGTTTAGACCAGGTTAAATCCAAGTTTAGTCCACGTTTAGTCCAAGTTTAGATCAGGTTTAATCTAGGTTTAGTCCAGGTTTAGTCCACATTTAGTCCATGTTTAGACCACGTTTAGTCCAGGTTTAGACCAGGTTTAGTCCAGGTTTAGACCAAGTTTAGTCCAGGTTTAGTCCAGGACTTCAAGAGCTGCTTGTACAAAACATCTGCACAGGGGCAAGTCATTTTTTTCCTCAAATACATAAAAAAATCTGATCCAGACTCTTTAATTCTCGCTATATTCACATTTCTAAATCTTAATCTTTGGGAGTTCTGCCGTTCAAAACTCCAGGAATGAAAAATATGAGGCAGTTTGTGCCGTTCACGTTTCCATCCTGTTCCGTCATGACCTCGGACGTATTTGCTGACGGGAGTTTATTAAAGGTTTATAATTGTGTTTTGATGATGAGTTTGGTTCAGATCTGTGGAGTCAGCGGCTTTGACAATTTCAGGAGCGAATGTAAAAAAAAACTCAACTCCCCGTTAGAAAGAAGGTTTAGACCTGGTTTAGTCTTGGTTTAGACCTGGTTTAGTCTTGGTTTAGACCTGGTTTAGACCTGGTTTAGACCTGGTTTAGTCTTGGTTTAGACCTGGTTTAGACTTGGTTTAGACCTGGTTTAGACCTGGTTTAGTCTTGGTTTAGACCTGGTTTTGACCTGGTTTTGACTTGGTTTAGACCTGGTTTAGACCTGGTTTAGTCTTGGTTTAGACCTGGTTTAGTCTTGGTTTAGACCTGGTTTAGACTTGGTTTAGACCTGGTTTAGACCTGGTTTAGTCTTGGTTTAGACCTGGTTTAGACCTGGTTTAGTCTTGGTTTAGACCTGGTTTAGACCTGGTTTTAGTTTAGACCTGGTTTAGACCTGGTTTCTGGTTTAGACCTGGTTTAGTCTTGGTTTAGACCTGGTTTAGACCTGGTTTAGTCTTGGTTTAGACCTGGTTTAGACCTTGTTTAGACTTGGTTTTGACCTGGTTTTGACTTGGTTTAGACCTGGTTTAGACTTGGTTTTGACCTGGTTTTGACCTGGTTTAGTCGTTTTAATCTAGGTTCAGATCAGGTTACACCAGATCTAGGCTGGGTTTCAGTCAAGGTTTAATCCAGGTCTAGTCCAGGTTTAGACCAGGTTTAATCTAGGTTTAGTTCATGTTCAGTACAAGTTTAGACCAGGTTTAATCTTGGGTTAGACCAGGTTTAGTCCAGGTTTAGTCCAGGTTGAGACCAGGTATAGTCCAGGTTCAATCCAGGTCTAGTCCTGGTTTAATCCAAGTTTAGCCCAGGTTTAGTCCACATTTAATCTAGATTTAGACCAGATTTGATCCAAGATTAATTAAGGTGTAGACCAGGTTGAGTCCAGGTTTATTCCAGGTTTAGTCCACATACATATCGCACCTTTAACTTGAAAACGACCTCTTCATGACATCACGAGGTGGAACAGTGTATTTTGATCTTTGTAGATATAAACAAATAATAATAAAGTTTTACTCAAACATGAATGAATCAAACACAAGTTCAGGTTTGTTTGTGACGAGGAAACAACATTAAAACATCATTTAAATCTCACAAGAGTCAGTTTTGTGCAGTTTTGGACCATTAATAATTTGATTTCTTTACTGAATTTTGTAAATAAAATAAAAAAAAGAATTGTTGGTGTAAAACGTTGCCCAGACTTTTCATTCATGTTTTTATGGTGAGACAGACGTGTGGTTTGTAGGTCAGTGGCGCCCCCTGGTGCTCAGTAATGGAACAGTCCAAACATGTCACTGAAACTACAGTAAACAACATCATGGACATTTACCGCTTTGTCTGGAATGTTCCACAGTATTAAAACTTTCTATCGTCATGGAGACCAAACCAGACCAAGTTACAGGTCAGATCTGAGGTTTAGACCAGATTTGATCCAGGTTTAGACCAGGTTTAGTCCAGGTTGAGACCAGGTTTAGTCCAGGTTTAGTCCAGGTTTTAGACACAACACACACTCACATTTATAACATTTGTATATTTTATTTAAATTGTTTTTAGATTAGTACTTGAAACTGGGCGTATTTGTTTTCATGGGGCATGACTATGAGCGCCTCTCCAGTCTTCTTCTCATCCAACACCAGCTCCATCAGAGCTTCTGCAACTTTACTCGCACTGGAAAAAGACACACACAAAATAATGAACACTTAAAAAAAAAAAAAAAAAAAAAATATATATATATATATATATATATATATATATATATATATATATATATATATATATATATATATATATATATATATATAAATTTCAAGGCAATATTTTAAATGAACATGTATTTTAAGTGTGTATCGCTGTGCCAGTGTGTGTGTGTGTGTGTGTGTGTGTGTGTGTGTGTAACACGCTGACGGGTTAAAGATTCTTTTTTTTTTTTGTCCAATCAGATTTGTTGACCTGGTTTATGGTTTGTTACAGAAGAAGAGGGGTCACAACAAACGCAAACGCCGCAACAAATACAAATGTGACAAACAAAACAAACAACAGAAGTGACCATTGTAGTTCTTCTTCACTTGCCGCTTGATCGGTCTGTTGGAAAATAAAGTCCTGCGGTCACTTCTGTTGTGGCTTTTTGTTGTGTTGTGGCGTTTGTATTTGTTGTGACTCCTCTCGGCTTCTGTAGTTTGTGTTGCTCTAATCATCCACATGAAACAAAACCTGACACAAAGTTCAGTCTTTAGTAAAACTATCAACTGTTCTTCCTGGAGACCTGTAGCATGTTTTTGGGTTGATGGGGGAAACTGGAGCGCCCGGAGGAAACCCATCCAGACACGGGGAGAAACATGCAAACTCCACACAGAAAGGCCCGGGCGACCCAGGGATCGAACCCAGAACCTTCTTGCTGTGAAGCATAAGTGCGTCCCCAGTGTCTCTTTGGCGCCCCCCAGAGGAGGCAGGCGTCACTTACTGAAAACCACTGTTTTAATCAGATTAATTTTGCAGAGTCATTTGACCAACACTGATCAGTGATAAATGTGCGTGTCGTCTGAAGTGTCCCTGTTGTTTCACCGGTTTTCTATAGATTTTCTTCTTTTAGCCGTCGTCAGATACAAACTAAACCCTGAGTTGTAGACTTGTGTATTTGTTCTTTAAACTGTAGAAGCTCTTTCACATTTTGGACGTGTTTTGACTTTTGACAGGAGACGTCATTACGCCCATGGACACTCGATTTAAAAATGTGGAATGTTGTTGTTGTGACGTCGTTTGCATCATCTGTGTAGTGAGAGACGATGTTCAGATGTTTCCACTCACTCCATGATGCCCAGCTTGTTGATCAGCTCCATCATCAGGTCCCGCATGGGCGTGTACGGGCCCAATCTGTCAGGGATCTTTTCGGACAAATTTGTCTTGATGTATGCGGGACACAGAGCGTTGAAGCGCACGCCGTCCTCCGCAACGAGAGACGCCAGCTACACACAAACACAAACACAAACACTCAGCTGGGGTCGTCCACAGGTGAAGCTACAGCGCTGGGAAAAAGGTTTTACCCCCTTAGTCGTTTCTTACTTTTTACATTTTTATTTGTTAAGAGAAAAACCGACGACTGATCCAAGAGTGCGTTTACATGCACATCAGTTTCCCGGTTATGATCGGGTTTTTTGAGTATCCCGGTTTCTTCATGGTGCATGAATACGCAGTACCCTGGTTTCAGTATCCCGGTTATGGCAGTATCGTGGTTATTAGGATACTGTGGCATGTAAACGCAGTATCCCAATTACTGCAACGTAAAGTTGAGTGCGCATGTGTCCAAAAGACACTTTCCAGCCTCACCACAACAGTAGTGACATAAATAAAGTGACCACACAAGTAAAATGAGTGTAAAATAAAGAGCTGCGCTAAACCTGCACACGTACAATCTGCACTCGTCTGACCTGCACTCGGGTGATCACTGAAAAGCTAAAACATGAACTATCTCCTATAGAGGCTTTGCACCGTCACGTGACCCCTATAGCAACAGTACCTACGCCGCCATGACACCGGGCACACTATGTCACTGACTTCAGCAGCATCGGAGAAACATGGGCAGGTCTTGTTGTGTATTTGGTTATTCTAGACCAGGGGTCGGCAACCCGTGGCTCCAGAGCCACAGGTGGCTCTTTAGCACCCCCTAGTGGCTCCCTGTAGCTTTTTCAAAAATGAGTGAAAATGGAAAAGGAATGATTTTTTGGTTGTTGTTCTAATCTGGTTTCTTTAGGGGTAAAACCCTCATTCATCTCTGGTCATGGATCTGATCCATCAGCTGTGTGCAAATGCAAACACATGAAAAGTGTTTCAGCAGAACAAGTAGATGAGCTGAAGCGGGGGTGGTGTCCACCTCCACCTGAGAAGCGCTTTCCCCGAAAAAAACAACAACAAAAAAACACGTGCTCAGAACAACATATAACGAACCAAACGGGATTCACGCTTCTGTCCGGATGCTTTGCACCACCTCGGAACCAGCCGCGGTCGAGCGCGGAGGACCAGAGCAGCCCGCCCGGACCTGTGGCCCACAGCGCGCAGACGACTGCATTGCACAGTCATCTGTGCGCTGGTTCCGTGCGGGAAAAGCAAGAATGCTCTGTGGGCCATAGGCCATAGGTCCAGGCGGGCTGCTCCGGTCCTCCGCGCTCGACCGCGGCTGGTTCCGAGGTGGTGCAAAGCATCCGGACAGAAGCGCGAATCCCGTTTGGTACGTTATGTTGTTCTGAGCGTCCATCTGCGCACGTGTTTTTTGCGCTTCTCAGGTGGAGGCGCTGGACACCACCCCCACTTCAGCTCGTTTGTTTGTTCTGCTGAAACTCTTTTCATGTGTTTGCATTTGCACAGAGCTGATGGATCAGATCCATGACCAGAGATGAACGAGGGCTCGGAGTTCAGTGATTTTACCACTTCTTTATCTCCGGAGAAGCGAGCCCGCTCACTAATGCACGTTTTTCAAGGTATTTGTGAGAAGTACTTACAACTGTAATGAAATAAATGCTACAGGTTTGAGTCTAATCCAGGTGCTCCCAGAGGCTCGGTGTAGTTCTGACGGCGCTCGATGACGTATTTATCCGGGTTGATGTAAACGGAAACTTTTTTGAAAACGATGCTGTGTGCACGATGTTATTTTGGAAAACGGAGGGAGAGAAATATTCGTTTCTCAAAGTACCCGTGTACGTGTAAACGGGGCCTAAATGACAAAGGAATAAACACTAACCACCTGATTTCAGTGGCTACAGACGGAGCACCGAGTATGAGAGGGTCGCAAAAGGGGTTTGTGTATCATGATGCTCATTTTGTATTTGTAGCCGACTTAGTCATTTTAATAGTCGGCTTATAGAGCTAATATACTGACAGCCTATGTTGCCTTCATATTAGGCTTATATAAGGCTTTTCATTTTTTGCGGCTCCAGGCAGGTATGGTTTTAGTTTTTTTTGGGCCAGTATGGCTCTTTGAACATTTTGGGTTGCCGACCCCTGTTCTAGACGCTCTTAACGGGATAAAATGAATCGTTTCTTCACTGTTCCTCTGGAAATTACTCATCAGGAGTTCAAAGAAGGGAATTATCGGAAAAAAGACGGGTATTATGGCTAGAGAACATAAACCACGAAGAGATTTCCTATGGTACCATCAAGACACACTCATGTCACTTTCATCAAGGTATTTGCTATTTAAATTGTTTCATATCTTATTTAATGAGAGAAGCACATTTACTGAACTAAAATGTAAAAAGAAAACATTTGCAGTGTGAGTGGCAGTAGAAACTGTATCTTCCAGCACATATAAACATGTCACTCGTCATAGGAACCATGTTTTCTTTATTGTCTTGTTTATCCACAACTTGTCTTCTAGAATTAATCACTTTTTGTGAGTGGATCTTTCTAACGTTCGCAAGGATCTTTTCATGGCCGATTCTTTCGAGGTTCGGCTCACAGACTCTTCGACTCGTGCGACATGTTGATCACAGGAGCCCAGTGTTGGTTCGTTGAATCGTAAACAAGTGCGGGTTTTCTTGGATAAATTAATGACATTTTAGTTCAGTAAATGTGCTTCTTTCATTAAATAAACTATGAAACAATTTAAAAAGCAAATACCTTGATGAAACTTCAGGTGTCTTGATGGTCTCTTTGCGGTTTATGTTCTCTAGCCATAATCCGCATCTTTTTTTTTTGATAATTCCCTTGTTTGAGCTCCTGATGAGTAATTTCCAGAGGAACAGTGAAGAAACAAAGAAACAAATAATTTTATTCCTTTCAGAGCATCTAGAACATCCAAATATACAACAAAACCTGCCCATGTTTCTCCGATGCTGCTGAAGTCAATGGCATAGCGTGCCCGGTGTCATTGCAGCGTAGGTACTAAACTTTGAACACGTTTTTAACCAACTCCCTCACTCTTTCACAAGTAGATTTCCCAATTTTACAGTTACAACTTTTGGATTTTTGTGAATAAAACTAGGGCCCAACCAATATATCGGTTGGGCACTTGGAAACATATCGTCGATCGGCCTAAATCTTGCCGATATTTCACGTGTGCATGTTATACATCGTTATAAATCTTAGACTCTCTACATTATGTTAATTTAATCCAATTTACATACAGATAAATATCCTAATATGTGGCTCCTCATCAGTATTTATCTGCGGAGTCATTTGTCTGTGTGTGTCCGTACCTGCCCCTGAACACACCAAAGAGTCACGTCACTCAAGTGTGTTTGTTTACACTCACAGACACAGATCCAAACACTGAGATTATTTTCTTTTTACGGACAGTCGGTTTGAGTCTGGATTAAAAGGACACTTACTAGTTCAGACTTGTGATCTGAGAGGAGCCTGTGTGAGCGCTGAGTGTAGGAAATGTGTCGATTTTGAAGCTAGTTTTAGTTATAGAAAGAATAATGAATCTATAATGCTCTGTAAAGCATCTTTGTGACATATGTCTGTGCTATATAAATAAAAGACTTACTTATTTCTCATTGATTTGCGATTAGCTGCTGTAGCTCTCACACATAAACAGACTGTTTTCTATTGATCTATTGTAAAGTGAATATATTGGCCGTATATATGTTACTGGACAAGCATTGATATGTAAATGAGCTGTGAATAGAGGTGTGAATGATTGACATTTACACATATGTGTATGTATATGTAATTAAATTAAAGACTAATAGCAGTAGTTAGAGTAGTTTGGAGTAAAAAAAGTAAACTAATAGCAGTAGTTTACTTTCTTTACTCGTAGCTAGAATGATGTGATGCAAAAACTGCCATGAGGCCGACCTACTGTCTGTAAATATGATGTAAAGACATAATTACATAAATGTCGCCTAAATAAACACAATTTAAAATCCACAAGAGCCAAACCTAAGTTTTTTTTAACAATTCAAGATTTATAGTGAATTTTTACATCACTAAATATATCGACTTTTATATCGGCTCCTCCAACTCCCATTTTATTGGTATTATATCGGCCGCAACAAAATCCGTATCGGTCGGGCCCTAAATAAAACTATTAAAAGTAAATTCTGCTGTGCATAGTTCATAGATAATTAACATAATGATCCCAGAATCAGTATCGAGTATCGAGTCTTTTCCTTAGTACTGAAATTGAGTTTTAGTTTGGTGACAACACGAACTGCAGCTCATGGTTTTTAATGACATTTGGAGAGGGTTTTGACTCTTTGCTCTGGGGATGTTTTTCAGTCGGTTCAGTGTAATTCACTCACTCCCATTGCTCTGGTGAAGCCCACAACTCCAAATTTGGTGGCTGAGTACACGGGACTGTAGGGTATCGCCTCAAGACCTGTGAGAAAAACACAGAATATTTAAGAGGACGTGTTTTACTTCTGACACATTTACACACATTTACATCACTACTTTACCTTCCATTGTTTTGAAAATGCTGTGTGCGTGTGTGTGCCGTGTGTGTGTGTGTGTGTGTGTGTAACATAAATCTACAGTGTGCTGAGTGCTGGAGCAGTGCATTGTGGGACAGGACCTGCTATAGATGCAGTGTTAATGATGACCCCTCCATGACCTTTGCGCAGTTTGCTCATGTGCTCACAGACCTGAAACACAGTCACACAGTCTGAAACACAGTCACACAGTCTGAAACACAGTCACACAGTCTGAAACACAGTCACACAGTCTGAAACACAGTCACACAGTCTGTCACACAGTCTGAAACACAGTCACACAGTCTCAGTCACACAGTCTGAAACACAGTCACACAGTGAGTCTACAGTCACACAGTCTGAAACACAGTCACACAGTCACACAGTTCACACAGTCTGAACAAACACAGTCACACAGAGTCTGAAACACAGTCACACAGTCTGAAACACACACAGTACACAGTCACACAGTCTGAGTCACACAGTCTGTCACACAGTCTGAAACACAGTCACACAGTCTGAAACACAGTCACACAGTGAGTCTGACAACACAGTCACACAGTCACACAGTCTGAAACACAGTCACACAGTCTGAAACACAGTCACACAGTGTGAAACACAGTGTCACACAGTCTGAAACACAGTCACACATTCAAACCCGACTCTTGTCCTCACCAGGTTGATGGACACCGTCTTCTCCCACTGAGTCTCGTCAAAAACTCCAGCGTTGTTACAAACAATGTCCAGTTTTCCAAAAGTCTCCACGATTTTCTGAAAAGCAGCTGGAAAAACAACAAAGACTTAGGGCCCTAATACAACAAATCTGCCAGCAGGGGCCGCTGGAGTCTGGAGTGGAACAGTATCATGTACATGGTGAGGACATCCAAACCAATCTGTGACCCCTGTGGCATTTCACATCACTGCCAGTGAGGGGGTCTGCTGTCAGTCAAGCAGCAAAGAGCAGTGTGGGACATTAGGAAAAAAATAAAATAAAATGCATGGGCATAAAAAAATGCTCCGTCCCCCACGACGTACGTCTACACCAGTAGAGGCGTCAGGATTATAGGATTTTGGATGGTCCGTCACAGAAGTGGTTGGACTTGTGGAGGTGCGCCCCTCTCACGTGCACGCCCCTGTGGGTCCATGCACACTCATGTCAATCATAGTTTTCTCTGTGTTCCTCCGTCGTTCTTTTGTCTCCCATTACGGAGCAGACCAGTGGCTTTCTTGTGCACTCCCCATCCCACATCAGACCCCCTGATCTCCTCTCCCCCCTGGTCACACCTGCTCCCACCTGTGCTCTCCTGACAGTCCTCTCCCGCCCGTCCCGTGTCTCTCACCTGAGGTGCAGGTTTCCACTGCAGGTACCGGACATGGATTAAAGCATTAACATGGGGGGGGGGGGATCACACGACTTGCACTCGTAGAAGGAGGTGCCATGACATAGACAGGGTAAGAAAACACTTCAGCATAGTGCTGTATCCGGACAGCACACGGACATGTGAGTGTTATGGATTTATCATATTTGAAAATAAAATAAGGATTTTTTTGCCTTGAATATTTTACATGAGGTTTTTGAGTGGAAATTCAGGCTCGGCAAACCTCTGGTGTTGGAGTGTGAGTGCTCCTGTCTGCTCCTCTGGCTCTGCTCCTGTCTGCTCCTGCCTGCTCCTGTCTGCTCCTGTCTCTGCTCCTGCTCCTGCCTGCTCCTGTCTGCTCCTGCCTGCTCCTGTCTGCTCCTGTCTGCTCCTGTCTGCTCCTGTCTGCTCCTGTCTGCTCCTGCCTGCTCCTGTCTGCTCCTGTCTGCTCCTGTCTGCTCTTAGATGATGATGATGTTTAGTTTTACCTTTCAGTTGTTCTTCAGACTGAACGTCACATTCAATAAATAAAGTTTTGTCTTTTCCAAACTTTTCCTCCAGATTTTCCACTAAACTCGTCCCGGCTGCTGCGCTCACGTCCAACAGCGCCACCTGCAGACACAAGCAGAGCACTGTCATTATCAACACACGCCACCATCAGCTTGAACACACGACACACAGCAGATTCTGTGTCTGAGCAGTTTGAGGAGAGGAACAGTCCTCTGGACAAAAGTGTCCTCAGCAGGAGCCAGGTGAACAACAACATGCAGGTCTCTTCTAAACTTCACTCTCACTCTGCTCTGGGGTTGGTAATGAAATGGTCCATTGCCTCAAAGTATTCTCTAGAACAGGGAGTCAAACTCAAATTCACAGAGGCCAAACTTAAAACTAGGACTAAGTCGTGGGCCAAATTAAATATTTATTGAAAAAGTTCAGCAACATCTGCATGTTTTCTCATCTGAAGAAAGTCTGGAAATGATTTACTTTCCTATCCTGGTCTGACCGTGTACCCTTGTTTCACCTTCAACAGTGCTGAAACATAACCAAGTAAAAGTAGTAAAAGTCTGTACTTTACTTTTAAATGAGTACTTTTTTGGTTTTACTTGATAGTAAATATTTTATATGATACTTTCACTTGAGTATTTTTTGCTTCAGTATCTTTACTTAAGTAACAGACTTGAGTAGATTTTCCACCAACTAACCCCACACACACACACACACACACACACACACACACACACACACACACACACACACACACACACACACACACACACACACACAGGTTTTACCTTGGCCCCGTTGGTGAGCAGCTCCTCCACCATGGCTCGTCCGATGCCCATGGCTCCTCCGGTCACCAGTGCCACTTTCCCGCTCAGTGCCATGTCTGATACACAGACACATGCACTGAACTGGTCTTTATACAGAAGAGATCTGAGGGAGGAGCCTGGTCCCTGCAGCACACAGAGCTCCACCAGGACACAGCCCAGCGCACACTCAAGTCAAAGTGTCACATGAGAAAATCTACTGGAGCAAATGTATTACAAGTATCTGTTTGAAATTTACTTAAGAGTAAAAGATCAAAGTATTTCAAGCAGATTTTGAGATCTAATAAAGCTTTAAATTGACTGATTTTGATACAGATTTGTGCTGAATTTTGTTCAACAGAAACAACTGAATTGGTTTTGTTTTTCCTAAGTTTGTTTTTATTATTTTGAAACCTACAAAAACATTGTCGACCCAAAGGACAAAACACCGAGCCACAAAGCAGTGAGCTCTACTCCATCCAGTGTAGTGAAGACTGAAGTGAGCGTCACACTGGAGAAACAAAACAAAACAAAAAACAACACAGACGAGAGAGCAACACAGGACCTCAGTCTGCTGTTCACCTCACTGTTCACCTCCACCTAAAAGGACCTCAGTCTGCTGTTCACCTCCACCTAAAAGGACCTCACCTCCACCTAAAAGGATCTAATCTGCTGTACATCTCCACCAAAAAGGACCTCAATCTGTGGTACATCTCCACCTAAAAGCCTTGGGTCTCTCCAGTGACAGGACAGTGAGGTACAGATCTGAGCCACAGAAAAGAATTGGTTTGGGAGGGGACTTAAAGAAGCTATTTTTGTTAAGAAAGACAATTCTGTTCTAAACAGAAATAGAGGTCTCAGACACCATCTATCTCCTGTTTACAACTCCATCCTCAAACCTAAAATAAAACAAACAAGAGAACAACAGGTGTATCCAGGTCAGGTCCAGAGGTGTGGAAGCTCCATTATGACCTTGAATGATTCTGCTGATAAGACCCACACTCAGTGCAGATGAATAGGTCGAGCTAACAAACAGAAACTGTAAACAGTGTGTGTTAGTTTCAGAGTAGTTTCAGTGTAGTTAGCTCCTCCCTGCAGACAGATATTAGGAAGTGTCCACCAACGTCTGACCAGAACTGAAGAAGCAGCTTGGATGATCTGAGAAACGTATTCGACCAAATAAACTTTTGACCAGGTTTAATCGAGGTTTAGTTCTGGTTTGGACCAGGTTTAGTCCAGGTTTAGTCTAGGGTTAGACCAGGTTTAGTCCAGGTTGAGTCCAGGTTTACTGTAGGATTAGCCCAGATTTAGTCCAAATTTAGACCAGGTTAAATCCAGGTTTAGTCCACGTTTAGTCCAAGTTTAGATCAGGTTTAATCCAGGTTTAGTCCAGGTTTAGTCCCAACTCCCCGTTAGAAAGAATCTGGATGATTTCAGTGACGCGCCGACTCGACTGGACTAAAGGTAAAGGAGCGGTTAAAGGTGCTTTGCCGTCACATTGTGAACTTTTAACTGGAAAACTTGAAATACACTTTGGACTTTAAAAGGTGCAGTGTGTAACTTTTCTACATGGAGATGTTTTTGCTTTGTTTGGAATGTTTCACAATATGGCATTATTTATTATCATTATTATTATTATTATTATTCTATCTTCATGGAGGTTTTAGTCCAGGTTTAGTCCAGGTTTAGATCAGGTTTAGACAAGGTTTAGATCAGATCTAGNACCCGGTTAAATCCAGGTTTAGTCCACGTTTAGTCCAAGTTTAGATCAGGTTTAATCCAGGTTTAGTCCACATTTAGTCCACGTTTAGACCATGTTTAGTCCAGGTTTAGACCAGGTTTAGTCCAGGTTTAGACCAGGTTAAATCCAGGTTTAGTCCACGTTTAGTCCAAGTTTAGATCAGGTTTAATCCAGGTTTAGTCCAGGTTTAGTCCACATTTAGTCCACGTTTAGACCATGTTTAGTCCAGGTTTAGACCAGGTTTAGTCCAGGTTTAGACCAGGTTAAATCCAAGTTTAGTCCACGTTTAGTCCAAGTTTAGATCAGGTTTAATCTAGGTTTAGTCCAGGTTTAGTCCACATTTAGTCCACGTTTAGACCACGTTTAGTCCAGGTTTAGACCAGGTTTAGTCCAGGTTTAGACCAAGTTTAGTCCAGGTTTAGTCCAGGACTTCAAGAGCTGCTTGTACAAAACATCTGCACAGGGGCAAGTCATTTTTTTCCTCAAATACATAAAAAAATCTGATCCAGACTCTTTAATTCTCGCTATATTCACATTTCTAAATCTTAATCTTTGGGAGTTCTGCCGTTCAAAACTCCAGGAATGAAAAATATGAGGCAGTTTGTGCCGAACGTTCACGTTTCCATCCTGTTCCGTCATGACCTCGGACGTATTTGCTGACGGGAGTTTATTAAAGGTTTATAATTGTGTTTTGATGATGAGTTTGGTTCAGATCTGTGGAGTCAGTGGCTTTGACAATTTCAGGAGCGAACGTAAAAAAAAACTCAACTCCCCCTTAGAAAGAAGGTTTAGACCTGGTTTAGACCTGGTTTAGACCTGGTTTAGTCTTGGTTTAGACCTGGTTTAGACCTGGTTTAGACTGGTTTAGTCTTGGTTTAGACCTGGTTTAGACTTGGTTTAGACTGGTTTAGACCTGGTTTAGTCTTGGTTTTACCTGGTTTTGACTTGGTTTAGACTTTTAGACCTGGTTTAGTCTTGGTTTAGACCTGGTTTAGTCTTGGTTTAGACCTGGTTTAGACTTGGTTTAGACCTGGTTTAGACTGGTTTAGTCTGGTTTAGACCTGGTTTAGAGTCTTGGTTTAGACCTGGTTTAGACCTGGTTTAGTCTTGGTTTAGACCTGGTTTAGACCTGGTTTAGTCTTGGTTTAGACCTGGTTTAGACCTGGTTAGTCTTGGTTAGACCTGGTTTAGACCTGGTTTAGTCTTGTTTAGACCTGTTTAGTTTTGTCTTGGTTTAGACCTGGTTTAGACCTGGTTTAGTCTTGTTTAGACCTGGTTTAGACTTGGTTTAGACTGGTTTAGACCTGGTTTAGTCTTTTAGACTTTTTGACCTGTTTACTTGTTTAGACCTGGTTTAGACCTGGTTTAGTCTTGGTTTAGACCTGGTTTAGACCTGGTTTAGACTTGGTTTAGACCTGGTTTAGATATTTTAGACCTGGTTTAGTCTTGGTTTAGACCTGGTTTAGACCTGGTTTAGTCTTGGTTTAGACCTGGTTTAGACCTGGTTTAGTCTTGGTTTAGACCTGGTTTAGACCTGTTTTAGTCTTGGTTTAGACCTGGTTTAGACCTGGTTTAGTCTTGGTTTAGACCTGGTTTAGACCTTGTTTAGACTTGGTTTTGACCTGGTTTTGACTTGGTTTAGACCTGGTTTAGACTTGGTTTTGACCTGGTTTTGACCTGGTTTAGTCGTTTTAATCTAGGTTCAGATCAGGTTACACCAGATCTAGGCTGGGTTTCAGTCAAGGTTTAATCCAGGTCTAGTCCAGGTTTAGACCAGGTTTAATCTAGGTTTAGTTCATGTTCAGTACAAGTTTAGACCAGGTTTAATCTTGGGTTAGACCAGGTTTAGTCCAGGTTTAGTCCAGGTTGAGACCAGGTATAGTCCAGGTTCAATCCAGGTCTAGTCCTGGTTTAATCCAAGTTTAGCCCAGGTTTAGTCCACATTTAATCTAGATTTAGACCAGATTTGATCCAAGATTAATTAAGGTGTAGACCAGGTTGAGTCCAGGTTTATTCCAGGTTTAGTCCACATACATATCGCACCTTTAACTTGAAAACGACCTCTTCATGACATCACGAGGTGGAACAGTGTATTTTGATCTTTGTAGATATAAACAAATAATAATAAAGTTTTACTCAAACATGAATGAATCAAACACAAGTTCAGGTTTGTTTGTGACGAGGAAACAACATTAAAACATCATTTAAATCTCACAAGAGTCAGTTTTGTGCAGTTTTGGACCATTAATAATTTGATTTCTTTACTGAATTTTGTAAATAAAAATTAAAAAAGAATTGTTGGTGTAAAACGTTGCCCAGACTTTTCATTCATGTTTTTATGGTGAGACAGACGTGTGGTTTGTAGGTCAGTGGCGCCCCCTGGTGCTCAGTAATGGAACAGTCCAAACATGTCACTGAAACTACAGTAAACAACATCATGGACATTTACCGCTTTGTCTGGAATGTTCCACAGTATTAAAGCTTTCTATCGTCATGGAGACCAAACCAGACCAAGTTACAGGTCAGATCTGAGGTTTAGACCAGATTTGGTCCAGGTTTAGACCAGGTTTAGTCCAGGTTGAGACCAGGTTTAGTCCAGGTTTAGTCCAGGTTTTAGACACAACACACACTCACATTTATAACATTTGTATATTTTATTTAAATTGTTTTTAGATTAGTACTTGAAACTGGGCGTATTTGTTTTCATGGGGCATGACTATGAGCGCCTCTCCAGTCTTCTTCTCATCCAACACCAGCTCCATCAGAGCTTCTGCAACTTTACTCGCACTGGAAAAAGACACACACAAAATAATGAACACTTAAAAAAAAAAAAAAAATATATATATATATATATATATATATATATATATATATATATATATATATATATATATATATATATATATATATATAAATTTCAAGGCAATATTTTAAATGAACATGTATTTTAAGTGTGTATCGCTGTGCCAGTGTGTGTGTGTGTGTGTGTGTGTGTGTGTGTGTGTGTGTGTGTGTAACACGCTGACGGGTTAAAGATTCTTTTTTTTTTTTGTCCAATCAGATTTGTTGACCTGGTTTATGGTTTGTTACAGAAGAAGAGGGGTCACAACAAACGCAAACGCCGCAACAAATACAAATGTGACAAACAAAACAAACAACAAGAAAAGCCACAACAGAAGTGACCATTGTAGTTCTTCTTCTTCACTTGCCGCTTGATCGGTCTGTTGGAAAATAAAGTCCTGCGGTCACTTCTGTTTGTTTCTTTTTGTTGTGTTGTGGCGTTTGTATTTGTTGTGACTCCTCTCGGCTTCCGTAGTTTGTGTTGCTCTAATCATCC